CCATTGGGATCTGTTTCATTTTATCCTCTTTAAAGAGGACTGGGATGTTTTTTTCATTAGTTTTTTAAAAAAATATATGAAATAAATCATACTTAACCGAAAAATAGTAATAACTCAAATTTTTTTAAAATGTGACATCGCTGGTTTCTCCAGGTCTTCATATATATATACAAGCCTCAGCAAGAAGAAATGAGTGCAAGAGCGGCAAAAAGTTCAAAAAACAAACACGGTGAGCTATGCGAGCTGCTCCTCTAAACAGCTTCTTAGGAGAACTTTTGATTATTGTGAGATCCATCTGTTTATTTACTAAAAAATTGCTTATTAATTACAAAATTTTGGTTTCATACTTGTTACAAGCCCAGGTCACGACAAACTTTTTTTTTTTTTAAATGAACGTTGGCGTTTTTATTTTTATTTGATGGCAAACATCTAATTTAAGAAATATATGTCATTAAAGAAATTTTTTTTTCCAAATAATTTTTCTTAAAGTAACAGGAGCCAAAAATAAAATAAAAGTTGTTTTGACATTTTTTTTTTAAAACTTTTAAAAATATTATCATGTTAATTATTTAATAATAAGGTAATAAAAATAAAAACTATAATAAACATGTTTATTATAATTTTTATTTTTTATCGTACGTTTAACAACGCTTATAATATGATATTTTTATAGAATTAATTTAAATTAATATGTATATGTATGAATTAATATATATATATATGTATATTAATTCTATATATTCTATTAGATTGTATATATTTTAGCAAAACTTAAATATTCTTTTCAAACATTTTAAAAGTATTTTTAATATTCAAATAAACATTACTTTACTTTAAGTAAAATATAAAAAATTAAAAAAAAAATTCTTTGCTTTAGAAAAAAGCAATTGTTACATTTAAGCATCGTTTCTTTTAAAGTAATTGCAAATGCATTCATTTTAAGTAAAATTTTGCATGATTTTGTTAACGCATGCAAAAACCATGCTAAAACATAATTATTATCTTTGATAGTGTAGTTTTACTTTTTTTAGTTTTTAATTATTTTACTTAATAGTAGTGCTATTGAAAGAAATAACTATGTTTTAGCATGGTTTCCTTTAAAGTCTATAAAATGTATTTTAAATTTTAGTAAATAATTGTTTTTTATCATAAATATATTTTTTATAAAAAAGACTACCGGTTGCATAATTATTTGGAAAAAAAATTGCTAAAATAATGCATGTGTTTTCAAAAAATTTAAGCAAACGCAACCTTTCCATATGCAAAATTATAGAAACGTGACGTTCATTTTTCTGTTTGCACTTTTGTAGATTTATCATGCCATGTCAAGCATGTTGTTACTTGTTATGTATATATTCCTGTTATATTACAGGAATATATACATAACAAGTATTATTTATTGCAGCATGAAAAAATTCTTTAGACGAGCTTTGTTTTTACTGTTTATAAAACAGATTTTATATTTTCTTATTGTATTAGAATGCAGGCATTTTAAGAATTATTAAAAAAAATTATTAAAATGACTAAGTTTTTTTGTTTTAGTTACAATGATAATTAGACTTTTGAGAGAAAAAATTATACTTTTGTGAGAGCCATAAATTGCTCCCATAAACCGTTTTAGGGAAGCGTGGGCAAGAGCGAGAACTAAAGTTCTTGCTTCCCGCTGAGGCCTGTATATTTATATAGATACATATATATATATATATATATTATATATATATATATATATATATATATATATATATATATATATATATATATATATATATAAAATACCCTAATATATATATATATATATATATATATATATATATATATATATATATATATATATATATATATATATATATATATATATATATATAAAATACCCTAATATATATATATATAATATATATATATTAGGACAATTAACTAGACAAATTAAAGTTTTTAGAGCATGCAAAGACAAAATTGGTAAAGGTAGAGAATGGAGTAAGATAATGAGTAAGATTAGGGTATTATATATATATATATATATATATATATATATAATACCCTAATATATATATATATATATATATATATATATATATATATATATATATATATATATATATATATAAAATACCCTAATATATATATATATATATATATATATATATATATATATATATATAATACCCTAATATATATATATATATATATATATATATATAAAATACCCTAATATATATATATATATATATATATATATATATATATATATATATATATATATATATATATATATATATATATATATATATATATATAAAATACCCTAATATATATATATATATATATATATATATATATATATATATATATAATACCCTAATATATATATATATATATATATATATATATAAAATACCCTAATATATATATATATATATATATATATATATATATATATATATATATATATATATATATATATATATATATATATATATATATATATATATATAAAATACCCTAATATTAGGTTGACCGGAAAGTAATGTCGTTTTTGCGCATGTTGACATTCGATAATCGTTGGCCAGTTTATTGTGTATCTCGAACACGTGCACAGGTTATTTTTATATTAGTGTGACTTGTTTACTTCTAAATTATTTAAAATTAAATAGTTTTCTTTGCAAATTGGAGTGAAATGGCATACGAAATACAGGAAGTACATATTCATCATTGTATGCTTTTTGAATTTCGCAAGGGTAATAACGCTACAGTTGCGACTAAGAACATTAGTGATGTTTACCCAGGTTCATTAGATGTTCGCAAATGCCAAAGATGGTTTTCCAAGTTTAGATCTGGGAATTTTGATCTTTCTGACGCCCATCGACCAGGAAGACCAATGTCATTAGACAACGACGTTCTAAGGGCAGAAGTTGAAGCAAATCCATGCCAAACCATCGAAGAATTGTCGAACACCCTTAACCAACCTTGGTCGACCATCCAAGAACATTTACACCAGATAGGAAAAATCAGCAGAGCAGGTGTTTGGGTCCCCCATTACTTGTCAGTGCAAAACAAAGCCAACAGATCAACCACGTGCAATGCATTGATTCAACGGCACCATGCAGAACCGTTTCTTAATCGTTTGGTCACTGGAGATGAAAAATGGGTCCTATACGATAATCCAAAACGCAAAAGGCAGTGGCTCTCCCCAAATGAACCAGCACGCAGTACTGCAAAGCCGGGATTACACCCCAAGAAGGCGCTCCTGTGTGTTTGGTGGAGCATCCGCGGAATCGTCCACTTTGAAGTGCTTATTCCTGGACAAACTGTTAATGCGGACCTTTATTGTCAACAATTGGATCGAGTGAACCAAGCTCTAGTTGAGAATTACCCGGCTATCGTCAACAGAAAAGGTGTCATTCTTCAACATGACAATGCAAGGCCGCACTGTGCACGACGGACGCTAGAAAAAATTAATGAATTGGGATGGGAGGTGCTGCCCCACCCTCCATATTCACCTGATATCGCCCCTTCAGATTTTCATTTGTTCCGATCCTTACAGCACTTTCTAAGTGACAAAAAATTTCAAACTTTGTACTGCTTAAAAAATGGCATCTCCAGATATTTTAATGACAAACCAATACATTTTTTTCGATCTGGTATAGAAAGTTTGCCCGCTCGATGGCAAAAGGTTGTGGAAAATGAGGGTGATTATATCATTGATTAAACATAAATATTATAAAAAAATTATTTGTTTTAATTTGACGTAAAAATACGACATTACTTTCCGGTCAACCTAATATATATATATATATATATATATATATATATATATATATATATATATATATATATATAAAATACCCTAATATATATATATATATATATATATAATACCCTAATATATATATATATATATATATATATATATATATATATATATATATATATATATATATATATATATATATATATATATATATAATACCCTAATATATATATATATATATATATATATATATATATATATATATATATATATATTATATATATATATATATATTAGGGTGTCCCAAAAAACAACATTTTTGAAAATTATCTGCTCTCACCCCCTAAATGTGTTCTATCTAATGCAAAAACACTAGGTTTAAATAAAAAATTAAAATATTTTTTGGTTAAAAAATATTTTAAGGGGTCCCTCAAGACCCTCGAATATTTAATGGGTCCCTAATATTTTCGAAAAAAAAGTTTTTCAAATATATGTCAACCTGGTACTCAATAGAAGCAAAACTATATAAAAATTTTAAAATAATATTCATTTCCAAACAAAATTGTTATTTTTGGTTTTATTACATAAAAAATTGCGTTTTTTAAGAAAAAATGAAAAAAATGCATTTCTAATGTTTTTTTATGATAATTTTGATAAATAAGTTAAAAATATTTCGAAATGAATATTATTTTTGAAATATTTATATAATTTCGCTTCATTTGAGTACCAGGTTGACATATTTTTAAAAAACTTTTTTTTCAAAAATATTAGGGACCCATTAAATATTCGAGGGTCTTGAGGAACCCCTTAAAATATTTTTTATTCAAAAAAAATTTAAACCTAGTGTTTTTGTATTAGATAGAACACATTTAGGGGATGAGAGCAGATTATTTTCAAAAATGTTGTTTTTTGGGACACCCTAATATATATATATATATATATATATATATATATATATATATATATATATATATATATAAAGCATTTGTTATATATTTTTACATATAACAAATGCTTTATATATATATATATATATATATATATATATATATATATATATATATATATATATATATATATATATATATATATATATATATATATATATATATATATATATATATATATATATATATATATATATATATATATATATATATATATATATATAGGCCTTATAATAATATACAACAAATGCTTTAATTAGTTAAAAATTGAGAAAAATATCTTGATTATATACATAAGTGATTACCTCATAAGATTGTCTTTTGGATAACAAAGTTGAGTTTTCAAATAACTCCAAGTCTTCATCTGCATCACTAAACACATGTACACACAAATGATGAAAAATATATATTTAAATATGGTGAAACATGTAATATATACTTAAATATAATAATATATTACCAACTTCAATTTTTATAATTAAAACAAATAAAAACAATTTTAGAGAATTTATTTACAATCTTTGAGTTTCTAAACTTTTTAAACTTTTCATTTTGAAACAAATAACTTCAACTGTACTGTTTTAACTTCAACTGTACCAGTTTTAGCCATTAAATCTGCTAAAACTGACATATTTAGTTAAAAAAATGATTTAATGAGGAGTTTATTTTCAAAATGCGGTATGAGCATTTTGAAAATAAATGCGATATTTAGTTATATGCAATTATTTAGTTTTTATGTACCGCTTTAAACATTATTTAATTAAAAAAAATTATGATTATGCATTTAATGATTCCAAAAATAATGGTTTTTAAATTTTATTATTACTATTATTATAATTATTACTTATCATACTTTTTATAGTTATCATTACTACTTATCTAAAAAAAATTATCTTAAAAATCATAACTTATGAAAAAATGTAGTACAAAACTAAATGAGATTTATTTCATTTTTTTTTCTTTTTGAAAAGCTTTTCAATCCAGTGGTTGCCTGGACTACCATTTTTTTAAATGGCGATTTTAATTAGAGCAATAAATCTTATGTTTGAACTAAGTTTTGTAATTTAACATATGGGATAAAACATGTGGTGCATAGCAATGAAATAAATTTTCTAACATTTTCATGTAATGTTCTTACATTTTGAAGAAAGAAATATAGCAACTAAAAATAAAAATAAATAAAATAAAAATATAGACAATATCCTGCTTGATTATTTTTGAACCTTGCATGAAACATAATTTTAAGTATTTTAATAAGGCTCAAGACTCCTCTTATTGCATGTAACTATATAGTAACATAGTTTAAAGTACTTTAAAAAAGACTTAAAACTCCTCTTATTGACAAGGAAGAATAAATGGCATGTAAGAATTCTTCAAGATTTTACTTCTATATTTCCTTGATTATTAGTTACTTTCAGTTTTTTCGACAATCCAATCAAAGAAAAACGAAAATTTAAAATGTTAAACATCTGAATTGATAAAAACTATTGTAACCATGGTAACTATAACTTTTGAACTAAAGAAAAGTTTGTCTACATGGTTTTTAACAAGTATGAAAATTAATAAATATCTAAAATATTTGAAACAAAAACCAATAAAATTCTGACCTTCTTGTTATACTTCCTAAACTGGCTATGCTTCCACTTTTGCTGCTTCTGCCAGATTCATCAACCATTAACAAATTCTATATATATAAATTCTATATATATATATTATATATATATATATATATATATATATATATATATATATATATATATATATATATATATATATATATATATATATATATTCTATATATATATACATTTTTATTCTATATATATGTTAGAGTATTTTACAAAAGATGTGCTCAATGTTCATTAAGAACAGAGCAGTAATAAACTAGTAAGAAAAACACTTATCCTTCTTCATGACGATCCTTTTGAAAGAGAAACTGACAGTAGAAGCTCAAGTTAGATAAGTCATTTTTTTACTAATTTATATATAAAAGTCTCTAATGCTAATTTTTTTTATTTATATTTTAATAATTATCACCATTCAATTATCAGCATGCAATAAGAGTAAAAATGAGTAAAGAAGCAGTTAACAGAAGACTTGAAAAGTTCTAGGTTGTATGAGTCAGAAAAACATGAAGACAGTAGAGAGTTCCAAAGGGTTGAAGTGCGTGGAAAAAAACTAGACAAATTAAAGTTTTTAGAGCATGCAGAGACAGATACAGTATAAGGATGGAACTTTGCTAAATGACAAGTCAAGCATGTTGGCTCAAGCTGGGCAGAGCAGGTTCGCTTATAGTGCTTTATTGGACCTTGTCTAAAAGAGAAAAAGCATCATTAGAAGAACCAGCCCAAATATGAAGGTATTTCATGCAGAGACAAATAAGAGATTGGTAAAGGTAGAGAATGGAGTAAGATAATGGCAAGCATGATAAAGAAAAGCAGATATTAACTTTGTAACCAATGTATATTTGGTTTCCGTCAGAGGTCAGTAGTGAAAGATAATCCAGGAAGACATAAAGAAAAGGACTCTGAGAGGATTGCCATTCATTTATATAGGAATGCCAACAGTGCTGTGATTGCAGTAAACAACTGAGTTTTGTTGGAGTTAAAATTCTTAAGCCACTGCAAGCCCAAATATTACAGAAGTGAGTTCAGATTCAAGATTCACTGCCTGTTCTAAGCAATTGAAAAGAGAAGACTTTTATTGAACACAGAAGTATAAAGTTGTCATCTGCCATTTTAGATGTCAAGGATAGAACCATGAAATAGCCCTAGCCGCTTTTATACAATGTACAAAAAGATCAAAAACTGTATTGATTATCTGACAGTAAGTTATTTGACTGAAAATGAGAGGATAGAAATTTGTTAATCAAGACCTTGCTAATAATAGAGAGAAGTTGGAATAGTCAGAATGTTCTCCAGAGTTTTTAAAATATATGGAGTTTTAGACGTACCTTTATTAACAATGCTGTTAAAAATATTCCAAAAGTCTTACTTTTAAAAGTCTTACTTTTAAGTCTGGGACTGAGAATAATAATCGTCTTAGCATCAGATTTTTTTACATTTCTTGCAATAATGAAAAGGTTTACAAGAGAAAATTTCTTTGCTTTTTTTAAAAAAAAGAAAAAAAATGATTATAATTAGATATAACAGCTGCACAAGAAGTAAAAAACGTGAAGTCGAATGAGACATATACCACATATACACAACAAGAAGGAATAAAATCTTCTATACCTGTCTAGGTCCAGGAGGTTAAGTAGGAAGTGCAATTATCAGCAGAGAGAAAAGACATCAATCCAATAACCATCACAAAGAAAATCACAAAAATGATCTCAGTGAGCTTTAGGATAATAGTAAATAGTTTTGGACGCTACTATATATATATATATATATATATATATATATATATATATATATATATATATATATATATATATATATATATATATATATATATATATAATATATAACCATCAATCCAATAACCATCACAAAGAAAATCACAAAAATGATCTCAGTGAGCTTTAGGATAATAGTAAATAGTTTTGGACGCTACTATATATATATATATATATATATATATATATATATATATATATATATATATATATATATATATATATATATATATATATATATATATATATATATATAACCATCAATCCAATAACCATCACAAAGAAAATCACAAAAATGATCCCAGTGAGCTTTAGGATAATAGTAAATAGTTTTGGACGCTACTATATATATATATATATATATATATATATATATATATATATATATATATATATATATATATATATATATATATATATATATATATATATATATATATATATACATATATATATATATATATATATATATATATATATATATATATATATATATATATATATATACAGTAGTGTCCAAAAGATTGCGGACAGGCATGAAAAAAGTTTTACTAATATTTCAATGCATAAACCGCTAAAGCCAACATATTATATACCAATTAAAAGGTTTTTTTATTTTGAACAAATAATGATTATTTAATTAACATTTTTAAATTGGTTTACAAAATAACGATTTTTGATAAGTTCAAAGGTTTGCGGACAAACTAAAGCTTTAAACATTTTCACCACAAAATTGCTAATTTGTTGGTTTTATAAACAAATACTTTGTGGAAATAATGTACAAACTTTATTTATAAGTGATTGAGATCATGGAATCTAAGAAATGTATTTTATCTCCAGTGAAAAAACTGATCTTGAGATCAGTTCAAAATGGAAGTTTGTTTTGTAAAACAGCACAGCTTTATGGAGTTGGTAAGTCTGCTATTGGACAAATTATGAAGAGATATAAGCTTATTAGATCTACAAAGAATAAAAATCAATCAGGAAGGCCACTCAAAACAATTATCAGGATAAAAAGCTTGTAATACTAAGCAAAGAAAATCCCTGTTTGACAGTTGTCGATATAAACGTACAAATGAGACGTTTCTATGGAAGGAATTGTAGTATTTCTACTATAAAATGTTGTTTATATCAAGCTAATTTATTTGAAAGACACCCAGCTAAAAAACCATTAGTTTCCTTGAAAAACCGTTATGCCTGAATAGAATTTGCATCAGAGCATCTAAAGTGGAGTAGTCAACAATGGTCTAAAAATTTTTTTAGTGACAAAAGTAAGTTTAGGCTGTTCAGGTCAGATGGAATCAGATATGTTCGATCTCCAGTAGGTACAAGATATAATCCTAAATACCAACTGCCTACCATAAAACATGGAGGTAATGTAATGGTTTAGGAATGTTTTAGCCGGAATGGAGTTAGTCCTTTCCCTAGAATTACTGAGACTACGAACCAAGAAAAGTACAAAGATGTATGTAAGACTATTATGTTTTTTTTTTTTTTTTTAATTCACCTCCTCAAGGCAGGGAAGGCCACTACAGACGAGGAGGCTACTTATGTTACCTTATGCAAAGGATAAAATGCCTCGAGGATGGATATACCAACAGTCTAACAATCCCAAACATACAGCCAAATTGAATTAAGAGTTTTTCAAAAACAGTTCATGTTTGGAAGTGGCCATCCCAATCATCTGACTTTGAAGTGGCCATCCAAATCATCTGACCCATTGAACATCTATAAGAACATTTTGACTGTCAAATGAAAGAAATCAAGCCTACAAATTATGCTGATTTATTTAATAAAATCAAGGAAATATGGGACTTAACTTCCATTGACATTTGCATTCATTTAGTTGACTCTATGCTTCTTAGATGCCAAGCTATTCTTGATTTTAAAGGATTTCCTACAAATACTTATGTGATTTTGCTTTTGTATAAATTTGTGATCAAATATTGTTGAAAAATTTGTACTATTTAAAAAAATTTTGCCCTTACATAATATAGTTCTGGCTCAGAACTCAAAGGTCCGAGACCTTTGAGTTTTGAGCCAGAACTCTAACCACTTTGCCATGGCTGCCTTTAGAATATAAAATAATTACTCTGAAAGTAACTCTCACTTAATTGGCCAAGTCAGCTTCTCCAAGATTGATCACAACTCTTAACTGCAACACAGCAAACACAGTAGATTTGCCCAGTTAAGAATTAATTGCAGGAATCAAAAAAGTTTAAAGTTGTTGAACATTTTTTAACTCCTTCAGCAATAAAGGTCACCAATACCTTAAGTTCAACTAAAACGTCACCAACCCAAATGAATTAATCATTATTGAGCTAGAAATGAATGAGCACCGCAGCAATCTTTTATTTAGCGCTATGTCTACATCCATCCAGACTGTACACCTCTTTAGACCTAAATAACAAGCATGCCACTAAAAATGCAGAACTATTAACAAAAAAATATTACAAGGTCTTTTGATTTATCATTTGTAAAAAAACAAATACATTGACACATGTGGAACAATCAACATCAATGAAAAAGAAAGGAATCTATTCCTCAAATGGAAACCAGCAGCTGAGGCAGTCCAGTTGCTTTCAGCATCATCCTAGTTCAACCTCTTTCAGCACCACAAAATCATTCACTCATTTACATTATCTTTCCTGCTTTTACATCCATGCCACCAGTCTTAATTCATTAAAACTAATTGAACACTCTTTACTTGCAAAGGACAACTCTTTTGACATTATTTTTATCACTGAGACACGATTTAATGACAAATCAACTCTCACTCTTTCAAACTACAATCTCTATCGATCAGATTGCCATAACTGAAATGGAGGAGGTGTAGCCATCTATGTAAATAACAAACTTGTCTTAAACCAACTTGAAGAATCCCAACTAGACAAAAATTTAAAAATTTATTTAGGTTTTTTTTTATTTCAATTATCTTCTACATAAACGTAAAATATACTATTACTTAAAAATGTATTTACTATAAAATATTTGCAATAATGAAACTTGTCCCTTGTCTGTGGTAAAATCAAGTTTCAGCTCCCAATTTTTTAACTGTACTTACTGTATACTGTATTGGTTATAAAGATTTATTAGTGCACAAATTTTTTAAATTAGAACTATAAAGTTTTTTTCTTAGTAAATAAATTTTTTTGTGTCATAGTTACTTTTTGTTGCCATTTTTGTCATTTGTTAGAGTTATTTGATACTTTAATACTTGACTTTTATTTCAGAGTTTTTTTGATACTTTAATTCTTAATTTTCATTGGATAATTTTAGCCCTAATCTTTAGTATCTTTTTTATAAATTATTTATATTACTTTTAAATTAAAATTATTTTTAGTGTTCCATTAAATTTTTATTGTTAAATGAAAATTATTTTATACCAATTTTTGTTGATTTGAATCTATTTTAATTTTCTCATTTTTTCTTTTTGCAAAAAATCACACAAAATAGAGCAATATCAAGTAAAATTTATATTTTGAAACAACAAATAAATTTTTTTTAATCTAAAACACAATAGAAATCAAATAAAGACTTTCAAAATTTGATATTTAAATGTATAACTTATAGTATAAGGCTGCTTACAAATCTCTGAAATTTCTACTTTAGTTTTAACTTTTTTCTATACAAAAGAATCAGCAATAACAACAAATACCTCAATAGCTGATGGAGATGTTGATTGTGATGTTAAAAGATCCTAAAATGAAAAAAATTATAATTAATTTAGATTATTTCATTTCAATTTAATTATGTCATTTAAAAAAATCTAATTTATGTCAGTAAAGTAACACGTTATTAAAGAAATATCATTTATATCAGTAAAGTAATACTGAGTAAAAGTACCACGAAGCGGAAGCGTGCACAAAAGTACCACGAAGCGGACAGTGCACAAAAGTGAACGCTTATCAAGAAAACTTGATATCTTCACTGAAAGTTTTATAATTTTTAGTTGAGAAGGAAATCATAAAACATTGAAACTAATTGATTAAAATGACTGTTTTAATAAGATGTTAAAGTCCAAACAAACTTCAATGTAAAAAATCAAACTTATTTTGGAAATATGGTTCTCAGGCAAATATAAAATGAAGTAAATTTTCTGCAAATTAGTAATTTTAGATTTTAAATGTTACTCCATTAAAAAGTTATAACATAAACAAGATTTTCTTTAGTTTCCACTTTAAACCAGACACTACAAATCCCCTCAGATAATCAATTAAAATGGCATATATCACTGTATATTATTTTTCTACAATACTTGAACTTTTTTATTATTTCAAAATTTATTTATTTTATTAAATAAAAAACTAAATAAAAATGTTGTTGGTTAATCTCTGTCTATTATTTTTTTGCACTATTTAAATTTTTTTATTATAAAGTTAATTTATTTTATTATTTTTTCACACTATTTAATTTTTTTATTATAAAGTTAATTTATTTTATTATTTTTTCCACGGCCTACTTAAATACACGGCCAAACTTGTTGCTTACAAGTCCGATAATTAGTAGGCCAATTTTTAGTCAAGTTCTTCATTTGCATAAAGTTGCATAAAAGAGAATGTTCAATTTATTTGAGAATGTTCAATCATTTAATGAAGAACATTTATACAAAAATGGGTGCAAACAATTCAAAGGTTTTATTAGTCAATGCCACTCAGAACTGAGCAAAAAGAGAGCTACAAATGCATCTTTGAGAGCATCGTCAGCATCGCTATTTTATTGTTTGAAAAAAATCCCTCATTATTTTATTGTTTGATTCATCAAAAAAAGGTCTAGGCAAAGCTAAGCATTTTTGGAATTAAGATGAAACTGGTTTTAATGGCGGTGATGGCAATGCAAAAGTAATTATCAAAAAAGATGCAAAACCTCCGATTGTATTAACAAAATAAAAAGAAAAAAAAGCTACAACATTCTTTAGCACATGGATTCCTTCTTTTGTTGTCTACATATCAAAGAACTGACTTTATGGCGATTTGATTAAAGAAGACCTACCAAACACTTTACAAACCAACACTCTATGTAATGTTTATTCAAAAAAAAATTGGTGGTCATCGTATTTTACTTTTGAATAGCCACAGTACACATTAAGTGTAACCTTGAAGTGTAAAAAAAAAACAATATAACATTAATTTGTATTACTGCTTATTCATCTCATTGCAGCCTCTTGATAATAGTGTACTTTATTAAGTACACTATTATCAAAGATGTTTAGCATGGTATTTCAAGCAAATTTATGCTAAAAGTGGCTTTAGCATTTTGTCCAAAAAGATTTTTCCAAGTCTCCTTTAGTTGCAACGAAGCTTACACTCATACTCAAATTGAGTTTTTAAAGCACTAGGCTCTTGCTATTAAATCAAATCAACATTGGCAAATGAAAATTACAAATTTGTAAATAATTTAATTTGTCAAAAATTTATTTTAAACTCAAGTTTTTTTATTTATTTTTCTTCAAGTTTTATCTGTTTGTATTATTATATATTTCTGTAAATAAATAATATATATTTCTGTTAATATTATATACTAACTGAGATCGAATCCATAAAAATACAGGTCTTTGTAGATCTATTCCAAACCGAACTTTTTTATACTTTTTCCTTATATATCGTAGCTTTCCGGATCCGTAAAATATGGGTCTTAACTAAACCTACTATTTCTATACATACCTACTCCACACAGATTATTTCTATACCTATTTATTATTTATTTCCATACTTTTTAGCAAAATAATTTTGTTTTGAAAAAAAACTTTAAGAGCAAAAAAATTAACATGCGCACTTTTTCCGCATACGTATAGCTTATAGGAGACTTATAATTAGGTTTGTTTTTCTGCTAAATGCATTTCATTGATAGCTAAGTGGTTAAGTGGCTGTCATCAGATTTGTTTTGGGGGGTTTAAGACCTCCTCTTTGCGTAATAAATTTTTATTTTTTTTAATCTTGCTTATATATTTATAGCAAAAAAATAAAAATATAGCAAAGAGATTTCTAAAATTTAAAATAAAATTTTAAAGTTTTCTTATTTTATAGATATATTATACGCAATAATTCCATATAATGCCTGCAATGCTAAAGACGCTTACATTTACAGACGTTTGTACGTAATGCTATACAAAGGGAACTTATAAGATCTTAGACCAATAAAACATAGTCATTAAAAAACAAGTTCATTTTTATAATTATGATTACAAACTAAAGAATAATATTAAATGCTTATGTAAAAGTTAATCGAAAAAATATTTGTGCAAATAGTTGAGTGCAGTTGTCGGTTTGTGGCAAAACAAACTTTTATGCGTCAAGTTTCTTTTGCATTTATCTTACATTTGATTAATTTTAATTTTGTTCCACACAAATGCATAAAAATACATAAACCTGGTACAGATCATTTCATGGATAAGCGATTGTAATTATTACAAAAGTAATAAAAAAATACTTTTTGTCTTTATTAGAATATATCTTGTCTTTATTAGAACATATAGTTTTTTATTAGAATATATTTTTATTAGAATATAAATTATTAGAATATATAGTTTTATTTTTATTAGAATATAATTTTTTTTTATTAGAATATAATTTATTTATTGAATATAGTTTATTTTTATTAGAATATAAATTATTAGAATATATAGTTTTTTATTAGAATATATTTTTATTATAGTTCTTTATTAAAATATATTAGAATATTTATTAGAATATATCTTGTCTTTATTAGAATATATAGAATATATAAAAATAATTGTCTTTATTAGAATATAAAATAATGGTAGAGCACTCGCTTCATAAGCGAGAGGTTCCAAGATCAATCCCCACCACATCCCTGGTAGTACCGCGCTCAACTCGTTTCTCCGTGCACAGGCCTTGTTCGTCTAGGTTTGTGTTTCGGAGTTTGAGTGTTGAGAGAGGGTTATAACCACAAATAAGTAATCTCCTCGTCTGTAGTGGCCTTCTCGGCCTTGAGGGGGTGAACAAAAAAATATATATATCCCATAAAAATATATTCCATATATCTTTAATAGAAGTTTTTTTAAAAAATTTAAATAAGACCTTTTTCCTAGTTTGTTTTTCTAGTTTTTTGCCACAAAGTGTTGTAACACACGCAAAAAAAATTTGTAGCTTCAAGGGTTTATGAAAAAGCCTCGCCTACCATTTTTAATGGTCTAAGAATCAGATGACATAATTTTAGCAATCAGAATTTTTCAAGAGAGGGGCAAATCTAAAATTGGAGTTTTAAATTTTTCCACTTGGATGACACAACATATTTTGTGCTTTTTCAATTTTTTCAATTTTTCAAAACATAATAACATACCAACAAAAAATCAAAACATAACAGCTTTAGCAAAACAGACTTGTAATTATTAGAAAAGTTTACTTATATTACATACGATCCTGAATAAAACGTTATATAAGTTGATTTTTTACATTTTACAAACAATATATATAAACAACTAACATATATATATATATATATATATATATATATATATATATATATATATATATATTCCTTCTGGCTAATTTCGATACCCATGATTAATCCAGTTTCTACGTTACTTTTTGTTTTGTTTTGACGTCAGAACCCATTCTATTGATGTTTTTATATTTTGTATTTTTAACGGTTTTTCTTTAATAAAATATATATATATATATATATATATATATATATATATATATATATATATATATATATATATATATATATATATATATATATATATATATATATGGCTGATGATTGCCAAAACGGCATGAAACTTTAAGTTCCATCATAAAGCTGTATTTTTTCATTTAGTTAAATTTATATATGTATACATACATATATATTTCTTTGCAAACACCAAAATATACTTAAAGTTTTTAAGTGCACTGAACTGCAATTACTTTTAATTTTTTTGGTTTAGTGGCTTTTAAGAGCTTTTAAATTTTGCGTCAAATTATCTCATTTCAACATATTTGTTGTATCATCTATACTGCAGCTGTTTTTCAAAACGCCTGAAGGTAAAAAAAATCAAATTTGACTTTTTTTACAAAATAAGCTAGTTTAGATGTCTACAAACATTATTGAATACATATTTTTAAAGAGTTCTAAGCAAATTCATAAAAATTATTAGTTTCAAAAAACGTTTTACAAAGAGTTTCTCCTAACAATTTTTTTTTAATTGCGTTTTTCTTGAAATACCTAATAAGCATAAAGTTGTTTTGAAAAACAGTTGCAGTATATATTTATAGTAAAGTAAATGTAAGTAAATGTAGCAAAATAAACTTTTAATTGTCAAAAGAAAGTTTTAAAGTTTTATCAAGTTACGGGTCTTTTTTTTTTTTTTTTTGCTTTTTTTAATTGTCAAAAGAAAGTTTTAAAGTTTTATCAAGTTACGGGTCTTTTTTTTTTTTTTTGCTTCCACAGCAGCACCTTCTTGAGTAGCAGGACTTTCTTATTAAATTTTTTCTTTATTAAGTTTCAGACAACTTTTTTTTCAGACCATCTGCAGCTTCTTAGGACTAATTACCAGAGCGCATTAATAACATAACTATCTCAATCATAAAACATACGCAACAATTTTTTTCTCCCAGCAATGTTTTTTTAATAGTTTATGAAATTTTAGCTTTTTTGAAATCTTTTCGTTTGTAAAAGTGTTATTGTTACATATGTTTGTATATAATCTCTATAAAACTTTAAAAGTATTTTGTATTTTAAAATAATATTAAAAAATTAAAAAAAAAAGTTGCCATTGGTAGGAATCGATCCACAGCTTACTTGTTCAGGAGCTTGGCACGCTATCCGCTCGGCCACACTGGGACATTAATAAGCAAAGATTTTTATAACTATATAACAATTTTTTTAACAGAAAAAAATGTTATAGATTAAAATTTAGGAGAGCTTGGCGCAATGCAATTTTCAATTGAAAGTTAAACTGTTAAACTTGATAAATTTTTCAGTATGTTTTAACATATGTTTTAACATTACTTAATTTAAAGTTTACGTACGATAAATATTTGCATACACATTCATTCACGTTTTCTTATAAAACAAAGCTGCTGCAATTCTTTTTCGCCATTACCTTGGTTGAAATGGCTGACAAGGGTACTGTGTCAAACAGGTTCGAAAGCGCACTAATATTAAGTTCAGTATTATTAATTAGATATATTTTAACATTGTAAAAAAATTTGAATTCATCAATTTATCTTCGTTTTTTTTTCATAGAATTTGCAATTTGCTTTTGGTACAATTTTCTTTAAAGCGGACACAATACAGAACACAAGCAGACACAATACAGAACACAAGCAGACATAATGCAAAACACAAGTGGACACAATACAGAATTGCTCTTATCAGTAACAATATAACAGAAAAAAAAGCTTAAAAATTTTTAATTTAAAAAAAGTTATTCAGCTTTTTGTGAAGAGTATCCGGTTTCTAATACTTTTACTCAATGTTATTAAAGACATAATTTATGTATGTAAAGTAATACATGTTATTAGAGAAATCTAGCTTATGTCAGTAAAGTAATATGCGTTATTAAAGAAATATAATTTATGTCAGTAAAGAAATATATATTATTAAGAGATATATTATTAAGAAAAGAAACATATTTTATTAGGAAATCTAATTTATGTTAGGAAAGTAATGTGTTATTAAAGAAATATAATTCATGTCAGCAAACTAATAAATGATATTAAAGAAATCTAACTTATGCCAGTAAAGTAATGTGTTATAAAGAAATCTAATTTATGCCAATAAAGAAATATGTGTTATTAATAAAACATTTATTTTAGTTAATTAATATATGTTATTGAAGAAATATAATTTATGTCATCATTAATACCTGATCAATATCATCCAATGTTAAATATGGATTTATTTTAAGATTAGGTGCCCAATGAATTAAAAAATCGTATAATTGATCCACCCTATGAATTGAAACAAATATATAAAATAAAACTTAGTAAAAACTAAGGATAAAAAAAAAAAATAGGTAGAATACAACAGAGAAAAACAAACAAAAGATTAATTTTTTTAGGACTTTACAACATCATTAGCATGCACTCAGCAAACACATAACTAACATCTTAAAATATCTTTTAGATTTTATGTGCCATGTAACACAACCCAATACAGAAGATTTAAAAAACTGTAAATCATATGAGTCAGGAAAAAATGACAAAGCATCAATTTTTGAGGAATAAAAAAAAAAATTTCTTGAACATGATAAATGATAATAAACTCAAATAATAAATTTAACAATTTTAATAACTAATAAAGAGAGCTATAGAAATCCAACATGCTAGATTCAAAAACCTTTATTGTAACATGAGCAATAGTTATCTCACTACTTCCATATAATGCACAGAAGAAACTTCCATATAATGCACAGAAGAAACTTAATGTTATTACAGTTAATAAGGCAGTAGTAAAGAGGACCAAAATTCCTATTGATTATCAGAGAGTTGTTTGACTCAAGATGAGATATTAGATGTTAATTGATTCAAAGACTTTGTTAATATTAGTAAGAAGACTGCAGCATGTGGATTTTAAGAAATTAATGCAACACTTTACTAGAACATGTTACTAGAAAAAATTAATAGAACAAATTGCTGGAGTAAATTACCGAAACAAATTAGTGGAACAAATTACTGGAACAAACAACTGAAGCAAATTATTGGAATAAATTACTGGAATAAATTAGTGGAACAAATTACTGAAATGAATTATTGGAAAAAATTACTGAAACAATTAATGGAACAAATTACTGAAGTAAATTATAAACAATTACTGGAACAAATTACTGAAGCAAATAGCTAAAACATTCTATTCTATTAATAGAATGTTTATTATACTCTACACCGACCATTTCTATACTTACCCCTTACTTTAATACTTTTTAATAAAAAATAGAAAAACTATATATATTGCCTACCCTTTAAAGTTATAAATAAAAAATAATTAACTTAAAATTTAAAATGCTTCATAGTCATTATGCGAATCGCTATTTATAAGCGGTTCAGATATTAGTACCCAGAGCAGGTATTCTATATAATATTTAAAATACCCGCTTGATTGTTTGTTGATTAATGTAAATGTGTTGATTATTACAATCGCTATAAAAAGTTTGAAAAACATTTGGTATTACCATTCTTTGGGTATTGCAAACCAATGTTGCATCTTTTTTACATTGCGATTTTGTGGAACACCCATAATGCTAACAAATTTAGAATCATCATGAACCCAATAATTCTTTCCAACACTTATTGAAAGATAAATCATTGGATCCACATAATGCTCAATTTGATTTTTTCTTGAAACTAAAAATTAAAAAAATAAAGAAAAATATAAGCATCATGTTAGAAATTTATGATGATAACACATGCCATATATGGTAACACACACAGTTACATAATAAAGTTATCACTAGATGCTTAATATTTTTTTGATTAAAAATATCTTAACATGTATATACCATCTAGACATTTTTTGTCTCTCTAAAAACAACAAAAAGCTCTTCTACCTAAACCGTTTTGTTTAATAATTTATATATAAGATAATTAAAAAAAAATATTATGACAAACTATCTTTGTTAGAATATTCTTGGAATATTGTTTGTCAAACTAATGAATGAAAAGAAGCTCTAAGGAATTATATGTATTTTATCAATTTTTTTTCTCGCCTGCTACTTTTTTTCTCGCCTGCTACTTTTTTTCTCGTCTTAAATTTTCTAGTTCAATGCTATACTGCAACACACATTGCTATAAAATTAACTTGGTTTTTAAATTTTGAATTTTTGAAAATTAAAACCTTACCAACTTAATAAATTATGTTTCTCCAAATCATAAATATAACTTTAATATCATTTTTTAACATTCTTACATGACATAAAAAAACTATAAAATTGCAACTACACAATTTTATAAACAGTAAT